AAGAGTTCGAAAAATCTAATTAATACCTAAAGTATAGTACTCGTGGGAATGATAATCCAGACTCAACGGTCCACTATATTACTTGTTACGATATCGTACACTTGCGATATAAAAAACGCAACAATTTACGACCAAATCTAGAATACTATTTAACTACTTATCCTCTGAGTGTAAAAGATGTTTAAATTTTTTATCAAAGTTACAAACTAAAAAGTTGTATCTAAATTCTCTTTTCTTTTAAAGTTTCCTAGAAGTTCTAAATTTAAGTATTCTATTCTTTTCATAAATAAATGTTTTAGACTAAATGACGGCTCTAATACCAATTTGAGGAGATGTCTGAGCAAAAATATGTGTCTTTCTTTCTATTATTTTGCTATTAGTTCTATGCACTCTTGCAATTTTTATTTGTTTTTGGCTTTTCTTACTGTTTTCAAGATCTTGTATCAAGAAGTTTTGACACTGAGAGATAGAGAACTCTATGATTTGCCTATTGATCTGTAAGAGGAGTCACCCCTATTTCTATCTAATATGAATAATATGTGGCTTTCTACAACGATTATTCTACCAATCTCTTGATTTTCTAAAGAGATATTAATAAATTCGTTAAAACTTTTTAATGAACAACAAAGCAGAGTACATGAAATATACTTGTCTAATGGCATAAAATATAAAGACTTGAAACAATATTTTTGTAATGGCCTTAGAGTACTTTAACATTCAACAAATTAATTTCTTCAATTAATTTGAAAAGCATTAGAATTATATTTGAAAAGAAAATATTTGAAAACGCTACAAGCATTAGATTTATATTTAAAAAGAAAAGAAAATATTATAATATTATTTCTGAATAAATTAATTGCTTACTTGGTGTTTCTTCTTTTACGTCTTGCCCAAAAGTTAAATAAATTAAAACAAAATTATAAAACAAAAAGAAATATGAGAAACTCACTTTAATTAGAAGTCTTTGATTTTGCAACGATTGTGAGAGATGTTTGAGTACAAGTATTATAGAGTGCTCTGTGTTTCTTCGGTGTGTTCTTATGTGCAAGTCCTTTGGCTTTTATAGAGAAGTAAATACTGGTACATAACATCGTCCTTTTACAGAAAGGTAAATAATATTGTATATCTTTACAGCTGTATGATTTACAATTAAAGACATGGATGTTAAATTTACAGCTATATGGATATAAGAAAGGTCATTTTGTTCACGCTCCCTCTTTTTCACTTGCTTTCTAAATAATGGCCATTCCCCCATCTTTATTTCTTCTTTTTGAATTATTGATTGTCCTTCCTCTCTCTTTATGTCTTAAATTATTGCCCTGTTTGTTGATCATCTATATGTAGGCTTGTGTCCATTTCATTGTTTTTGTCATGTGATATGCATTATTTTTCTTTTGTTTCTGATAAGCTTTCTGATAATTCCCTTTTAAAAGCCATCAGATATAATTCTTGTTGCTGAGTATTTTGTGCTGGAATTCCATTTTAACTTTTATAGCAAGATGTTCTTGACATAAAATAACTCCATTGTTGTATTTTGCTACAAGTCTAGAATCATTGTTTTGAATTTCCATCAATACCGTTGTCTCTGAAATTCGTCATTCGTAATCAATCAATCTAATTTTTATTTTCGTTTTTGTCTTTGGAGAGTGTTTAAATCTTTTGGCTCCTTCATATATTATAATATAATGATAAGCTGGTATTTCTATACCATAATTTACAAAAGGTGGTCTAGAAATGAATTGGATCATTGAAGGGTAATCTTTTGACCGATCAAGAGTCTACTTAAGTTTAGGTGAAATGAATCCAAAAGGTCTATTTAGAACAAATATGGTGTCTATCATACTGAATTATAAGACTGAGTAAAAAAGGTTTTCTTCTTTAAAAAGAGTATAATCAAAGGAAATTGTAGGATAATTATGTCTAAGAAAAGCTAAATTTCTAATGGATGATTCGTATTTGGGGCCATGTTTAAGAAGATATCCATTCTCATTATGATAGTAACTTGGAACTTGAGAAAAATCGATTATTTCCTATACAACTGAGTTCCTTATAGAATTTTGAACAATATTGGTACAATCACCAATTTTATATTCTAACTCATATAAAGCCTTTTCTTGTTATGCAGCTATAGAATCTGTTAGTTCAATAAGTCTTTCTATTCTATCAGAATAATTTCTACTTGTAGAAACAATATATCTTTAGAGATGGATCTTTCAACAATATTTTTATAATTAAGTCTTTTCAAATTGTCATGTAATT